AAAGGATAGAAGTTTCATAGCCTCTATGGCAACCTCTTCCAATGGTTCAACACCCTCATGGTGATAACGTTTCTTAATATCTAGACGGAATATCTTGAGACTTGAAAAAGATAAATCTTAACACTTTATATTTCTTCTTATCAGGATTGCACACATGGCTGAATGTAAATGCGAAATGTGAAACAAGCTTTTCTGGCACCTTGGTAACAAAGAAATAGCTTACATACTATAATTCTTTGAAAACATTAGACCAAATAGATGATCTATAGCTGACTGACACGTGAAATATTGAGCAGTAGAGCTGGAACAAAGCTTACATGTGCTTTTATATTGTCTAAAGCCTAAAGCATAAATAGAGAACAAGAATGCTTCGTATTAAATGACAATTGCCCTCGGTATAGTGATCACAGTCCTAATGTTGCACCATGAGAGAAGAAGGCGACTAAATCTAGCATACAGGTATTCATCTTCAGGATAGGGAACTCAATGAAAGAGACAAATGATCAAGCAAACAACGTTTCCCCACCTACAAGCAACCTGGTGGCTGTTCAAAAAGTGCTGCATTGTCATGCAAAAAAAGCCTCACCACTATTTGTTTAAAAAAGTTAAAAAACAGAGAGGAAGAACAATGTGACTCATAGGAAAGTTAAGAACAGTATCATAGGGAAGAGGAATGACATTTAAAATGGGAAAGCTTGCCCAAATGAAGAGAATAGGAAAATCCATTAAATGTAGCAAGAGAAATAAGCAGGACATTCTTCACATTCTTTTTTAGGCTTCTGAATTTCTTAAGCCAATATTAAAAGGTTTACTTAAATAATCAAAAACAGGAAGTTAGCTAGAGAATTGGTGGGACCACTTGGTGAAAAGTTGAAAAGATCAGCAGGTTCAAAGAGCATTAGACAAGTTCAGGGACAACAGGTCCAAAACAAATACTAACGGAAATAGGAAAGCAGGTATTTTCTAGCAAATATTCTTCATCTTCCTCTTTGGGGAACTGAAGGTAAAGAATTACAAATAGTGATGAGACTGGCATGATCTCTCCAAGTAACTTGTCTTACTGCTGTTCTTGGAGATAGAGTATTTGGCTAGACTGATTGTTGATCTGACCCAGTAGGGCATTTCTTAAGTTCTTAATTTTCTTTAATCTTGGACACAGAGCAAGAATGCCTGTAGCTTGCTTGGAGTAGCTGCAAGACTTTAAATGCCTAAATAAGGTGAGTTGCTACATAGAGATCCTCAGCCTGGTCACTTACGGAAGTGAGAAAACAAATGAAACGCCTTAAAGACGTGTACTGAGTTTGTGGGGATACTTTAAAGAGTATTAGTATGGAGAAGATACAGCAATAAGTTGGTAGAAGTCTGTGAATAATGCTTGATGCAGGGTAATGTGGTCAAGATAGTTGAAGACAGAACCAGCTACATGTTCCTAAAAAATCATCGTTCAGGTGTTGGAAATGGTTTGCCAAAAGTGGTTATAAGTCTCTGGAGGTCTGTGGAGTGTTCACAAAAGCAATCTCTAACCAAAAAGAAATCTTTGGAAGTGTTTAAATACAAAATGGCAACTTATTTCATGTGTGCAGAGAAGAAAGGTTGTAGTTCTATGAAATGGATGCTTTATAATTAGTGTGTTGGGTTTATAAACATACAAGTAATAAGCTGATTTGACTTGAGTCAGCAAGAGTAGTTTTTTTTTGTAGTTGTTATTTATAAAATGGTATAGTGCAAATGAGGATTTGGAATTACAGACCAAATAGATAACAACCCACTTCTAAATACTTAATTATTTTTAACAATATGCAGATAACTGCTGCAATTAATGGGAAATGGCAAGGAAAAAAAAAACTTTTTTTCTCCAGGTATCTAAAGGAACTCATCTAATAAACTAAAGAGAGAAAAGATTTCATGATCTTTATATGGTTCATTTTTTTATTTTTATTGACTGGGACAGATTTTCATTCTAATCTTATTGAAGATGGCAGTGTCTGATCCCATCACTCCAGAGTTCCTGCCAGACTTGATTATTCAGAAATGAAGAACTTCTCTGGGAATGCTATCTCTGTTGTCAGGTTGTCTTGAAAAGGTCAATATAATTTTTTTTTTTTTTTAAAGGTCAATATAGTTCCCTCTTTTTCTTTCCTTTTTTTTTTTTTTTCTATTCTAATTCTGCTAGATTTCTGTGAAACATGCCAGAAGGTATACTGATTTTGCTTCTATTAGTGAATGACTAGCTGAGTTTAGTAGTATTTGAGTCACTTCAAGATACAGATTAATATTAGAGCTTTGGAATGAAGATCTTTCCCTGTGCAGTAACACCTGTAGTAGAGAGAACATTCTTTTAGAATGTATTGGACTGACATTTTTGCCTCAGCGTAT